AGTGTTTTAAAATCCCGCACCACCCCAGGATCGACACCTTCGGGTCGCTGACCCCTTCTCTCTAAGGGTTCAGGTTAATAGTTAGACCCTACTTGCATGTTGACCCCTCTAATCCTCGAAACCCCCAGTTGAACCCGTGACTCCCGGGTCAAAGGGGTCACTGCATTTAAAAAAAAATTATACACAAAATGACATCGTTTGATGTGTAAAAAAAAGACAAAACAAAATAAAAACTCGTTGCTGCCTAGATTTAGAACTAGATCTAAAATCTGAATCGTTCTTCTTCTTCTCTTTCGATCTTCTCTCTTAGACCCAGACCCAATCACCCTGTTCCAGTAATCTTCTCCACCGTGTTGGTTCTTCTCTCTCCCACCGTTAATTTGTCGTGTTGTTGCCTCTCCTCTGTTATTCTCTATTGAGTAAGGGATCTCTTTTCACATACTATTGTATGTGCATAAGAAGGACGAGAAGGGCATGAGTTTGATTATATAACTTTTCATTAACTCCATTGGAATATGTGTTTTATACTTTGATAGTTTGATATTTTGATTAGCTTGTGAATATTGACTTATGGATGTAATTGGTTGAATTATGTTAAGTATATTTTGAATCTTAACAATTGGAGGTTTGATTTTTTTGAATTTTTCATATAGAATATATATTTATATTTTTTAATATATAAATCTGGGTCAGCAAAATGATCTCGTGACCCCCCGGTTGAACATATGACCCCCTGACCCCTAACCTCGGTCGAGTCGATGGCTAGGCCGGGTTTTTAAACACTACTTTAGGGTGAAACTCCCTTTTTAAAATAAAAATAAAAATAAATAGTTCTGTTGGGGTGAGTCAGTAGAACTCTTAGGGAGAGAAAAAAAAACTTGTACCGGGGGAGCGGGTGGCACTTAAACCTGCTGGAAACCCCCCACGGTACCAAATGTCCCTCAACGATAAAATATATCAATTCAATACCAAATAGAGATATTAAGGAGTCTTAAATGGGTCAAAGAGCCTAAAAATAATTGTGACGACAAACAGATTAATTTATCTTTTTTTTTTATATTGACCATAATTATTCCTTTGAAGCGAGTCGCATCCGAGTATTTTCACAAGCTTCAATATTTTGAGTTAATTATGAAACTAATCCCAAATCGGGACTTAGTCACAAATCACAATTAAAGCTCTTCGATCCTAGTTATCTTTTTGAAGGGCCGACTCGACTCGAAGAAATAATTTTGATCGGTATAAAAAAACACGATTAATAAATCTTCATGACTATAAAATTATCACTGCAAAATTAATAAAATTAAAAAACAATTTCTGAGAACATTTGCGTCATATTTTTTTCTTGGGAAAATTTGCCCCCTGACATTATTGTTTTATCAACTCTACTATTTATTCTTCTTCCATAAAAGTTAATTACATACATTTAATAGTCAGTGTCAATCCAATTTAATTATTATTATTATTTTTTGTAAATAGTGTCGATCCAATTACTTAATATGTGGTCTATAATCGTATAGAGGCCATCAACGTTCCATAATATTTTAAATTTTTTTTTATTTTTTTTATATAAAACATTTTTTTTCATGATCAGATTCATACAAATTGATTTTTAATCGTAGAAAACTTTAAGCCTTATATCTACATTTTATTTTTTTTCATAATGTATTTTGGGTGCTATCATTTCACACGAGTGACATATCTAATCAATCCTTTTTTCTTTGCTTTACTTTTTCCAATTTCGGTACTTTCCAATTTGTGTGGGTGCTGTGTTCTTTTTCGATTATATAACCAATTTGTGATAAAGTCTCTATTTGTCTTATCACTTTAATTATATATATATATATATATGAGGTAGAATTCTTTGACATCAGTGCCAAATTTAAAGTTTGACACCTCATCTGAAAGTCGTTAGTTCCAAAAAGATCAACGACTCTGATTTGTAAGCATGTGACACCATTGATCTTTTTGGATCTAACGACTCTCAGATGAAGTGTCAAACTTGAAATTTGACAACAGTGTCAAAGGATCCTACCTCTATATATATATATATATATAGTTTCGATTTTCTTATGCAGTAAGAGAAAAAAAATTCATGTTGTAGACACATTTTATGTGAGATCCACATCTATTAAAAAAAAAGTAAAAGACAAATAGGGATAGAATATTGTGACACACAAATAATGTTACGCACAATGTTACGACCACATCTTAACCGTTGATTTCGGTCAATCAACGGTTATCATTTATTGCGAATTAATAATTATTTAATGAGTTTGATTTGAAAAATGATAACCGTTGATTGGCGGAAATCAACGGTTAAGATGTGGTCGTAACATTGTGCGTAACATTATTTGTGTGTCACAATATCCTATCCCAAAAAAATATTGCACGAAAATCGAAGGGTCACTAGTAGAAGAAAACAACTCTCCTACAATATAAGAAAATATTTTCCCATATATATATATATATATATATATATATATATGGAAAAAAATGTTTCTGCAGTTAATGCAGATAAGTTATCTGCATTTATTTCCAGAACGACGTCGTATTGGCTTGCTGCAGATAACTTATCTGCAGTAACTGCAAAAAAAATGAACCCTATATATATATATATATATATATATATATATATAAATGAGATTTGTATTTGTCATTTAACATGACACAACAAATTTTCCTACACACACAAATTACTATATATATATATATATATATATATATATATATATATATATATATATATATATTTCCACTTACTTTTGTCTCTATAAGAGATAATATCTTTTTCTTCTGGGAGAAAAATTTTACCATTTTTTTTGTACTAATGGAGGGCAATCAGCCCAAAAAGAAAACAACAGCTGTCTTATCACATCTTATTAAGCTTTTTTTATGTTTACCTTCATAACAAGTTTTGATATTTTGCATATGGTCTTCCATGTCCTTCTTTAGTCTCTATTGCTAGTCTTATGTAATTTTATGGCGTTGAGATTTGTACCAAAATTATAAAGAAAGAGTTAAATTTTGATGTACTGTCATTGTAAAAAACTTTTACACTTTTATTTAAGGGTTTTATTAATGTTATCTGACATAATTTAAGTGTTATTTCCAACACACACAATAAAAGGAGGAGAGAAAGTAGAATGATGAAAGAGAAAGAAAAATATGTGGACCCCACCTCTTTAATGTGTGTAGGAAAATGATGTTATATTATGTTACATGATAAACATAAAACCCTTTATTTAATAATATCTTAATCATATTGTGTAATGAGTTTGACATATTATTAAACCTACTAGAAATGTGATAACATATCATTGAATCACAATGTAAATTTTTTTAATAAAACATAAAAAATAAATCATGAAAAATAGATTAGATTTTCCATATTATATAAAATGGTTAAAGATTGTAAATATATTTTATTCTAAATACTTAAAGATAAAAAGAATTAAGTTTTAAATATTTTTATTCTTTATTTAAATGTCTCTAAATATTTTTTGGGGAAGGATATTGTAACAACCAAATTGTGTTATTACTATGTTACTACCAATCAATCTCAGCATTAAATCGATTATGTTGATCCAACGGTTATATTTATTTCTATCTTTGTATGGTTATGATTCCTCAAATTTAAAGTGAAACATTAAATATGGGAAATCATAACCACACAAAGGTGAAAATAAATATAAAATATTAAATTTGGGAAATCATGACCATACAAAAATGGAAATAAATATAACTGTTGGATCAACATAATCGATCTAACGGTGAGATTGATTGGTAGTAACATGGTAGTAACACAACTTGATTGTTACAATATCCTTCCCCATATTTTTATTGTTCATATATAATTATTATTAGGCAAAACTTCAAAAACCCCTTATAACTTTCTTCTAATCACTTACCCCCTCCCCAAAATTTTAAATTATTTATCCCCTAACTTAAAGTTTTTTTATCATTTATCCCCCTAAGTGAGGGGGGTAAGTGATAGAGGGAGTAAGTGATAAAGAAACTTTAAGTCAGAGGAGTAAGTGATAAAAAAATCTAAATAAAAGTGTAAATGATTCAAAAAATTTGTGAAGAGAGTAAATGATAATTAAGAAAACTCATAAGGGATTTTTTGAAATTTTTCCTTTATTTTATTAAAAATAATAAAACATTATTTTATTAAAAATAATAAAATATTTTAAAAATACGAGCTGAACTTGAAGAGTTAGAAACTAGGCATGCTAAAATAAACTTATGACCGATTTATAAATAAGTCTTTCAATAAATTCATGGGTCAAATTAAATCAGCTAAATGGCAGGTTAAACTGTACGTATCTAACAAGCCATATACCTATTTATACCCCTTACCCAACAGAAGGTGAACCATGTTAAACCTTATATTTTTAATTACTATTATTTTATAATAATGTTGATATTACTGTTTCTGATATCGTGAAAATTTCCAATAAGATTTTCATTTATTCTGATCATATATACAATACTTAAAGAGAAATACATATGTTCTGTTATAAAAAAATGCTTAGGTCATATTATAGATATAATTAATATGAATCCCAACACTTTTAAAATAAAAATAAAATAAAAAAATAGTGGAGTTCACATTAATTATATTTATAATATGATTTAAGCATTTTCCTATAACATATGACATATGTATTTCCTATACTTAAAATACTTTGGTATGATCATATAATAATAAATTATATTTTGTTATTTTTTCTTTTCTTTTCCTTTTTGTCATATTTGGTAATCTGATTTTCATTTCTATGCATCCGTCAGCGGTTGGAATAAAATACCCCTTGTCTTTAACTATAAATTATGAAAATGCCCCATGACGTGTCGCTTTTAGATTGTTGTATCTACCACGCGCTTTTGAGAGCGTCGTAGTGTTGGGCCAGTTTAGCTGAGATAAACGAACGAACGTTACGAACCACAACTCTATAAATCTCAGACGAAAATTGCATTTGATATCACAACTCAATCCTTTTCCTTTTCTATCTTATTCATCTTTCTCTCTCTAGAATCAACTGTCTTTATCTCTCTATAATTCTTTCCTTTTCATTTTCTCTTTCCCTCAGAAATTTTCCGAGTTGCCAAACACCGAGAGAATCCTCCAGAACCTTCTCTTTCCCCTGCCTAAGGTTGCGGATTCCCCGCGCCTTCATCGATTCGCGTTTTCTCGCTTGATTTTCCAGTTTGTTACAGAGAGCGAGAAAGCAGAGAAGAGTGGTTGAACTTTTTGGATAATCGAGCTGTATGAACTGGTTCGGGAAGCTGGATTTATCATCGAATTTGAATTTCAATCACTTCGTTACTTGTTTGTTGATTTTTTTCCTCCATTTTTCGCCTCAATCGCTCTCTTCCATCTTCAAATCTGAGAACAATTACCCCGAACTGTTGTTAACCTATAGTAACAGTAATCTCAATTGTAATCGAGATTTTTATTCGCAATATGGAGTCAAGAAATAAGAGTAGTAATCCCCAATTAACCAGAGGTTTGCTTTTTTTTTTTTTTTTTATTCATATAATTACTTTCTCCTTTTATTGATTTATTGATTTCGTTTTGTAAAATGTCGGTGCTTGGAATTTCCTTTGTTAATATAGAAGGTGTTTGCATTTTTTTTTATTTATTATGCGAAAAAGGTTTATACTAAGTCAGTAACAGTGTGAACACGTGCATCATGCGTAGTTAGGTAGTTCTAAAGAGTTCCAACTTCCAAGAATCGTGTCCGCTTGAAAGTGAACATGTAAATTACATCACATGCGTGTTTAAGTTGTTTTATTTTATATTTAAAATAATCTATAATTAAAATATTACCAAAAATATTTTTGAGAAAAATTTAATTACTTTAGATAATTTACGAAAATCTAATTTTAGTATCATCTGTCATTCAATGTACATTCATTTTTGTGATAATAGGATTGAAAGCTTCTGTTCTTTATGGTTTGAACACGATTTGAGTCTAAAATCGTATTTGGTGTAACATTGAAAAAATAAAAATAAAAATTCGTGTTTTGTAAACTGTATTCGAATGACGCTTGGAAATTGTTTTTGATTGGTTTTTCTGCAATAGTTTATGAGCATGATAATTTTGTGCTATCAAAAAAATGAGGGTATGATTTGAAAACGGAATTAGCCTGAGGGGCCGTCAGACAAATACTGAAAGCAGTAAGTTGGGCTGGTCTGTGGTTTTAGCATTGATTGGTGACTTGGGTATGCAAAATACTGACATATAAGTGTTGTGCGAAGAATTGTCTTCTTTGAAATTCTAGTTTGTTATCCAAAAAAAAGAAAAAAGAAATTCTAGTTTATATTTTGTGTACGATGTTATTTACTTGCATACTTTGTTCTCTTTCCCCCTTTTCTTTGTAGGTCTTTGCTATGGAAACGTTAAGAGGCAGCAGGAGAGGTCACCATCTGTTATTGTCATCGGTGGTGGCATGGCTGGGATTGCTGCTGCTCGTGCACTTCATGATGCTTCATTCCAGGTATTCGAGCCAAATAATATGCATTTTATCAATTGTTGTTAAACTCGTATTTTCCTCTATTATAAAACAATGATTTATACTGCCTGAGTTTGGTTTGTGGCTGCTTTCATGAATGCAATTATTTGAGAATGGGATTGGCTTCTTGAATTGTAAATCCTGTCTTCTAATTTTATATATACAAAATGATGAAACTTTGTTCTGCTCGTTCCTCAAAAATTTGATGTAAAATGCATTCTATTCCACTGGAAAAATTGTTGGATTAATCAATGATTGAGATTTTTCCCTGTTGCTGGTTTAGAATTGGGCTGCTTTTGTACTTTAGTCATGTAAAACTACACATTTGGGGATAAATTACTCAAAAGACTTGCAGGCATACACTTAGAATATGAATTGATGCAACAATAACATCTCCTTTATTGTTTTGCTGTTTTTTTCTTTTCTTTTTTTATTTTTAGGAACCTGAGAGGAATTCATGTGTGTTTGCCCCAATAATGCAAACAAACTTACCTATTTAACAAAATCTTTTTAAGCACAGGATTGTGTTAACTATGTTGCTTCTTATTTGAAATTGAACCTACCTATTTTTGTAGTCTGTAGTTAATTAATATGCATCTTCTGAATGGGACTAAATGGTTCCTTAATTTTTTTAAATTTTGGTTAGGTTGTTCTCTTAGAGTCAAGGGAAAGAGTTGGTGGCCGAATTCACACTGACTACTCATTTGGCTTTCCTGTTGACCTGGGAGCATCGTGGTAAAGCTCATTCTCTTTATGTTCTGATGTAATTATCATGGTGAGAATGCAAGATTTCTTCCATTTTAAAACGTTACACACTGTTCAGGTTGCATGGAGTTTCCAAGGAGAATCCACTGGCTTCATTGATTGGGAGGCTGGGGCTACCCCTCTACCGTACTAGCGGGGATAACTCTGTGCTCTATGACCATGATTTGGAAAGGTAAGTATATCACTTTTTGATGTTCTATTAGTTAGCTAGTTCTGCTACATTTGCATGTAGGTGATCATTTCAATTATTTTTTGGTGACCAAGTAAATATTTCAGTTTATTTTCTGGTCTTCTTTCATGCTGGCAATTATTGTATGCTAGTTCTTTTTAATTGAAATTCATCAACTTCTTGCAGCTATGGACTTTTTGATATGGATGGGAATCAAGTTCCCCAAGAGTTGGTAACAAAAGTTGGTGAAGTATTTGAGACAATTTTACAGGAGGTAAGTCATTTAATTTATTTATTTTCCTAGTTATTTGGTTCATCTAATGAATTACACTTTCATATTAGAAACCATATTTTCAGGCATACATTTGTGTTTCCCAACTATTGCTTCTAATGTTTGATTCTACTTATTTTCATTGTGGGAATCCTCTCTAATGATTGCCCATAACTTAATGCAGACAGATAAAGTAAGACAGGAAATTAGTGAAGACATATCTATACATCACGCCCTTTCAATTGTTTTTGAAAGGAAGCCAGAATTGAGGTTACTATTTTCGTCAAACTTAAATATTTTTTGCTTTTCTCTTCTTTTTTTAGGCTTAGTGATGGATAGTATTACTTCCACTCTTGAAAGCAGGTTGGAGGGGCTTGGCCATAAGGTGCTACAGTGGTACTTATGCAGAATGGAGGGCTGGTTTGCGGCAGATTCTGATACAATTTCACTGAAATGGTGGGACCAGGTAATTTGAAGAAATCAAGTTCCAATTGTTTATGGTTGTATTACATGTTTAGCCCCCCCCCCCCCCCCCCCCCCCCCCCCCAAAAAAAAAAAAAAAAAATTTACACACTAAATGATATATTCTCTTTGGTGTTACATACAGGTAGCTCCTGTAGTGAAAGAAATAATTTGTAAAGTCGTCTCATAGCCAGGTGCATGAGTCCTAAGCATGCAGCCTTTCTATGACCGATAAATCCTGTAAACACTTTCTATGACCAATAAATCCTGTAAATGTGTTTACTGCTCTGCATATAGGAGTATGCATCTGACTGAAATGCAAAGAGACTAGTACTTGTGCTACTATGCTTGTTAGACCTTGAATAAATTAACAAGTAAATTTTAAGCAAATTGCTTCATATGAGTCAAATGAACACCAGCATGCCTGGCTCCTTTCTATTATTTGAAACAAAACTAGCAAAATACATACAGTCGTTATAATTGGTGGTGCAATTTTGTTAGGTGGTTTGGATGGGATGTCACGGCCCTCCTACCGTATCGGACTGGACTCCAGGTGCTAGGCTTGTCGGCGGGTAGGACAGCCCAACCCACGTTCCAAAAAGACTTTCTACACCCCCCCCACCAAAAAAAAAGGGTGCACGTGGGTTGGATTGTACTACCAGCTGACAGACCCAGTGCCCGGGGTCCAGTCTGATAAGGTAGGAGGGCTGTGACATGGGATGTGTAGGAAACTAGGAATCCCCTGTTATCAGCACATGCCATCATAATGTAGTGAACTCACCTTTATGGGCGGTAGGGTTTTGCGTTTTAGTGAAAATGGTGAAGCCCTTTGTACTGGCTTACCATGAAGTAAATTAGCAAAGAAATACATATTAGATTGATAACTGATATATTCAAGGAACTTCTCAATTAACATTTAAACATGTCTCTTTTGAATCTTTTTTTTTTCTTGTATATTATTTCCTTCTTCTAATATGTACTTACAGGAAGTACTGCTCCCTGGTGGTCATGGTCTTATGGTCAGGGGCTATTTGCCTGTTATACATACCCTAGCCAAGGGTCTCGATATTCGCCTGGGGCACAGGTAGATATTAGTTTGAATTGTTGGTTTACAATTGTATGTACTGTTATGTTGCTTAATTATATTTACTTGCATTGGTAATGGCCAACTTTTCAGGGTCACAAAAATAATTAGGCGATATAATGGAGTAAAGGTGACTGTGGAGAATGGGAAAACATTTGTTGCTGATGCTGCTATTATTGCTGTCCCTCTTGGGGTACTTAAAGCAAAGAGCATATCATTTGAGCCAAAGCTCCCAGACTGGAAGGAAGCTGCCATTGCTGATCTTGGGGTTGGACTTGAGAATAAAATAATTTTACACTTCGAAAATATATTTTGGCCTAATGTAGAGTTCTTGGGAGTAGTTGCAGAGACATCTTATGGATGTAGTTACTTCCTTAATCTCCACAAGGCTGCAGGTCATCCTGTCCTTGTTTATATGCCTTCTGGGCGGCTTGCCAAAGACATTGAGAAAATGTCCGATGAAGCAGCTGCTAACTTTGCTTTCATGCAGCTCAAGAAGATCCTTCCTGATGCTACTTCACCGGTAACCATACTATTTTTACTTATTTCACGCTTAACTGTGCAAGAAAAATAAATGCAAATCATGAATTCCTTGTGTACTCTACAGAGACCTTAATCTAATTTATTTAGGATCTTGTAAATGCATTTTATTACTTGTGTCAAAGTATGGTCTATGTATTTTAAGTGGTAATTTTTTCAATTATGCAGATTCAGTATCTTGTGTCTCGGTGGGGCTCAGATATAAATTCACTAGGTTCTTATAGCTATAATGCAGTAGGGAAACCCCACGAACTTTATGAGAGGCTACGGGTTCCGGTAGATAACTTGTTCTTTGCAGGGGAAGCAACAAGTATGAGCTATCCAGGGTCTGTCCATGGTGCATTCTCCACCGGAATGATGGCTGCTGAAGATTGCAGGATGCGTGTGCTTGAACGATACGGAGAGCTTGATCTATTACAGCCAGTGATGGGAGAGGAGGCTTCTTTGTCTATCCCGCTTCAGATTTCTCGTATGTAAATCGTCGAGTCACACATCCTAATGGATAGAAGATAGATTCCCATGCTTATTTATTAGGATTTTGGTGACACTTCTGTTCCGTTGACCAACAGTCCAAGTACATGTATATTATGCAGTTGCCTTTTGTGTTGCATGTCCGTGTTTAATGTTGTGAAGAACTGGTAATGTTAATATTGGTACATGGGAGGCGTTGGGACTTCTAGAGGAGTTGCATCATTAGTTTGAAGATGCTTCTGTATTCATGCTGTTATAATTGCGTTATAAATATGGGGATAATTTGGTGTTTTCTGTTCCGTCTTATAAACTTCATTTTTAATCGCGGAGCCTGAAATCTCATGAGAACTCTTTTTTTTTTTTGGTAATTAAATGTTAGGAGAACTTACAAAATCATCATTGTGTTGCTGCATGCAATAATTTATCGGGAACGCTTTTCTCGTATGGGACTCGTCGACACCCGGACTTTCCTTAAACCATCAAGTGAATGTGAAAAATTTGCTTGTACAAAAAGTTTTGATGATGATTAAAGAATACTACATTATGAAATATAAAAAAATACACGGAGACACATTAAATGTTTTAATCTACATATGTGAAAAATTTGTCATTTTTGCACGTAAAATATATATATATATATATATATATATATATATATATATATATATATATGACAGGTTTGACTTCTATTTTATTCCATTTATTGTTGGGATTTATTCTTATTTTTTTAATTACTGTTTTTTGCTTCTTCTTATTTTATTTTATTTTTGGTGTAGATTTTTTGGTTATTTTAATTCGTGTTGTTATGCGTTGATATTTTAGACTCGAAGTCGTAAGCCATAATTCTTTTGTATCTTGTGCGTGAAGGAATTATTTGTACATTTTGTAATGAATTCTAAATTTTTTATTAGAACTCTTGTGCTTCGGCGGACATATATTTGGAATTTTTAGCTCAATAATCAATGGTTAGGAATGCCTGACATATGCTGGAAGTGAAAATTGGTTTCGTTCTTTGATCCTCATAATTATGTGAACTGATACAAACCTATCATATTATATGGACACAGCCCAAAACAAGATTAATTTTCAGCTGAATACCTTTTCTATGAGCCTGAAGAAAAGCAAAAAAAGAAAAAAGAAAAAAAGGAAAATCTTATTCCTTGGCAATCAATTGATCTAGGGGATCATCTTCTGCAGATCTTTTAATGCGAGCAACAGCTTTTTCAACCTACAATTACATCACAAAATTGGTTAACAACTTTACATGTGACAAGCAATTCCTATAACATAATAAGATCTTATACTATATTTATAATTACCTCTGCATCCCAATTTGTTCTGGCAGTCAGAATTATTAGAGTTGCTGTTTGTACAAGAACTCCAAGGATCATCCCCCACCAGATCCCCTGTAACAATCCAAAATGCATCCCATTATACTAATTTTCATGCAAACTTAAGAAAAAGAGTTAAGTGAGGTAAAATTTTCAAACTTACAGCTACTCCTAAAGTTGTTTTAAACCCAAGAACACATCCAACGGTAAGACCAATAACATAGTAAGAAGCCAAGTTTACATAAGCCACCACAGCTTGCCACCCGCTTCCAATTGCAACTCCTGAATTCCCAAATAAAAGTAAACAAAAGGAAGGGTCAGATGTATGGATAAACCACAGAGTCACACTACCTTACCCGCAAGGGGTTTATGAAACATTACTATACTGATTTAACTACTTAACAAATTACAATCAATCATTAATTAAAAGGAAAAAAAGTATCTAACGTTCTTTTAGACAACTTTGTCTAACGTTCACTGAAACGACATCATTTAGAGGTTAAAAAATTAAAAAATTAGAATGATAAAGACTATTATAACTTTGAAATAAATTAAAATTACAAACACACTATGATTTTCGCCTCAAAACAACGTCGTTTCGGTGAATATTAGACAAACAATTAACTAATTATCCAACTTATTTGACTACTACACATTATCACATTACTATGGGTAGGAATTTCCCTTAGAAGTAGTTAGAGGTTCTTATGGTTGTGGATTTTGTTACCTGAAAGTATTGGTTGAATGCCATTTAGGAAAACAGATATGGCAAGCAATGGGGTCAAACTAGATACATCCTCAATGACTTCAGAGTCAGATGTGAAAAGCTTGCTCAAAGCACCCCGGAATATCAAAATAACTGTGCAGAAAACTATACTGATGAGAATGCTAGTTCCATTCACTACAAAGACTGAAAATTTTGCTAGTCTTGGATGTGCTGCTCCTAATTCATTGCTAACTCTGACACTGCAATCACCCAACATCTCATTAACATGTTTGCGTGAAATTTGTCTAAATGAATACTCTTTTGTTCTGTCACTAACCTGGCTGCTGCACTTAGACCCAACATAAATTGCATGTCCCAGTTCAAGTAATTCATACTGAAAGTACATTGGCATGGAAATTGTGGTTAGATAACATGATGGCTAATTGGCTAATTACTAAGAAATTCTCAGAGATAATTAAAAACTTACCAGATGGAAATGGTGTCCAGTGAGATTGTGGGGTTGGAGAGCAACCCAGATATAAGCACTAGTCCCTGATTGTACCATATCTCCAAACTACATTAAGATGCATTTTCAGCTTGATATTAAAAAATAATATGAACTGAAGAGATGCATTTTTAAAATTGATATTTGTGTTGTGTATTTGTGTGTGCATGTGCATTATGAATCAACTCTTCCAAAAGTTTAAGCGGTTAAGTAAAAGGAAAATGTGTTTCTTATGTTATATGAGACAATTTGTCTCATGTAACACGCACAAAAGTAGGTGGGACCCACCTTTTTCTTTTCTCTCTCTTCTTCAAAGTGGGTTCTACCTATTTTTTTGTTGTGGCATAAGACAAATTATCTCATGTAACATGAGAAAAATCAAACCCTAAGTAAAAACACATAAATTATTTTTATATTTGAAAGGAATGTATAGCCTCACTAATTTTTAAAAACTTTCATAATATTTTTAAAAATAATAGGGGCGTTAAGGATTAAACTCTAAACCACTTGATTATAAAAGCTCTAATACCATGTCATGATATAACTCTACTAAAAGCTGCTAAGTGAAGGTATATGAATGATTATTATAATTTGGTAGAGAAATATAAAATCATTAATGTAACCTCAACCAATAGCTTAAACTTTTATGTGAGGCTACATTAATGATTTTATCATTTTCTAACACGTCCCTTTACACGAGAGTTCATTGCATTTGAAGGGTGAAAAATGCACACACAGGTGTGGACTTGTGCATTGTCCACCCTTCAAGCTCAGTAGACTCTTATGTGAAGGGGCGTGAATGATAAAATTATTAATGTAGCCTCACATAAAATCTTAAGCTATTGAGTGAGACTACGTTAATAATTTTATATTTCTCTTACGTATTTATATGTCTATCAAAGACAATGAGAGTTAGGATAATTTTGGGCTTATACCACAACATCACAGCAGAAGCAACTGTCAACTTGAAATAAGGCCAAATTCCTATGAAGGCTTTTACAGTGAAGCCAGTCCAAGTTTCATTACATCTTGGGCTAACAATGATGTAAATCCCATTTATCAAGACAAGAAGCCACCAAGAAAAGCTTAGAGTAAGGGCAGCCCCAAGAAGTCCATAGTCCAAAACATAAACAACCAGCCAAGTGAGAAGCACATGCAGAAGGAATACCCCAACTGACATATATGCCAGAGGATTCACAATGTTTTGTGCTTGCAGGAACCTCTGCATTGGGCAAGATATTGCAAATGCATAGAGTTGAAGAACAATTCCACGAGCAAAAACTTGACCTTGCTCTGCTATGCTCTCTGACTGTCCTATGGCTTTTAGAAATGACCCTGAGAACCAATAGAGACATGTGAGAATCACTGCTGCCCCCAAGTGTAAGATGATTGCTCTTTGCAATATTATGCCCATTGCTGAATATTTCTTGGCCCCATATGCTTGCCCACACACTGTTTGCACTGCACTTGCCATTCCCAGCTGTTTAAAGGAGACTTCAATATTCACAAATATGAATATGCAAAACTAAAGTTAAGTTACAGACCAAACAAAATTTCCCTCAATGAAAAATATACAAGAAAACAATGTGCAGAATGAATTTACAGAAAAAAAAAAAAAATACTTTTCCAGCCATAAACTAATTCTACTGTATAATTAATACTAAATACAGTATTTCATCTATTTCTTTATATTGGTTTGTATACTTATACCAGAATGGAAACTCTTACATGACATGATGTTTATAGATAAATTGACGGTTACAGGGAGCACATTCGCATAAAGAGTGAAGATAGGATTACCGTTGATTCTTCTATAAACGGCTAGGATTATCTCAAATGAGATGATACATTCCCCCCTTATACCTCCCCCACATTTACTACTTGTATTACATTCGAGTGGAGGTGTTGCCCTTATACTTCTTGAAAGCTGTGTAAGTTACACAAGCTAATATTATAAAGTGAGTTTTATAAACTACTATTGATGTTGAAATGGTATTTGGTTTTATATAACAAGTTACATCAAAAACCAATTTGATGTTTAACACACTGTAAAGTAACCCCAAATAAAGCAACAGAAAATTTTCAAAAAAAAACAAAAAAACAAAAAAAATTGCTTAATGAAAAATATAGACAGGAGCATGTAGTGAAATGCAAAACCAAGGTTACTCAAAATGGTAAGTAAAAGTTTGAGAAGAAAAAACAATCATACCATAATCCCATAAGCAAGACCTTGAATTCCAACACTAGCAATGGAAGCCCCAGCAAGCTTTAGAGGCCCCAAATGCCCAGTAAACATTAAAGTCACAAAACTTAGCATATAATTGAAAATGGAGACAACAATAGAAGCCCCAGAGAGGAGCCAAAGGAGTCTTGATTCCCAAGCAACAAGCTGAGGCCACCATCTCAACTCAATGGGTCTCCTATGTTCCAAGAATTCTTCAATGGTTTCTGGTGACAAATCTGGAATATGGGAGTGTGAGTCAAGCCTAAGTAGCAATGATTGGTACCCTGTCTCTGAGTCCATGGTTATATGCCTCCCAATTAAGTTCACTGAAGTGGAAGGAGGAATTGCTAGTATTGTGGAACTATACGAATCTAATATGTTGAATTTAGTGTCACTGAAGATTTTGTAACTACCATTCCAGTTTCCTGTTGGTACCCACCAGTTTTATTCATGTTTCTCTAGATGTAGACAAGTAGATAAAACTAACCGCAAAAGCACACAACTTTATATATATATATATATATATATATATATATATATGGGGAGAGATCAT